TTTTGAAAAATTTTTGGAGTACTTCCGGAATTAATTTTCATACCACTATTGTGAGAGTATTGAAGTGATATTTTGTTTTTTTTTTTGTGTAAATATTTTTTAGATTTAAGTGTGAATTGATATTTTGTTGCATTTACTTAGTTTATATGTAGATTTAGGATTTAAGACTGAAAAGATATTTTGTTGAATTTTTATGTAAATATTTTATTAATTTTAAGACAAATGAATTTTGCTGGTGTACCTGAATTCTAAACACACATACTTTATAATAAAACTGCGTTTATAACAAACTCTCTGCTATTCTCATTCTAATAAGGGCAGCTGTATTCGAAATGTTACTGTTTTCCAGTTCTTCTTCGTAACTAACAAGATTCTCCATATCTGGGCTCTCCAATGGAATTTGATGTTTGAAAAATATACAAACGTTATGAATAGCACAGCACACATTTACAATTTGTGTAACTTTTTCTGGTGAATAGTGTAGCCCTCTCGAACCAATTATACATCGAAATCGGTTTTTCAAAACACCGAAACATCTCTCAATTACATTACGAGCTTTCGAGTGCTTTGTGTTGTAAATTCGTTGAATTTCATTGGCTGCGCTTCTGAATGGCGTCATCAAGTATGGCTGCAAAGGGTAACCAGAATCACCTACAAAAATTTTCATTGTCAGTAATAGTTTTATAGCCTTTTTAAGTTTTAAAACTTACCGAGTAGCCATGTGTTGGTTTTTCCATTGTTATAATCAGATTTTAGCTCCTGTTCTGCGTGACTCACATTCCAAACAATCGAATCATGATTCGCCCCTGGATGCCTAGCGTCAACAAATGTGATTACCATGTTGTGATCGCATATCTGTAAGGAAACTCAGTTTGTGTATATGTATACTTGTAAAGATAGTAAATCATTAACCTACCGCCATTACATTAATACTGTAAAAACCCTTGCGGTTGAGGTATAAATGGTGGTTGTCACTTCCTGGCGACTTAATTCGAACGTGTGTTCCATCAACACAACCAATAACCCCAGGTATTCCGTATTTCTCAAAGAAATATTCTTTAACTGCATTTTCCTCATCGATGTTTCTCCTAAAATTCACCCATTTCTGGCAAAAATGGTCCTCAAAAATATTTAGGCATTCTCTGATCACGTTTGCTGCAGTTGACTGCCCCATCGACGAAATATTTTCGTTACCAACAGATTTTTGGTAACTGCCGGTGGCGAGAAATCTTAAAAAAGTCGCGAGTTTTAGCTGGTGCGATAGGTGGGTGCTTCTATGTGATGGAGCCATGTGCTCTTTTAATTCGTTTAATATGTATTGGAATATTTCTTTATTGATTCGGAAATTTGCAACAAATCTAGAAACGAATACATTGTAGCATACAAAAATTATTCGCTAATCTTGAACTTACTCAGTCTCAGGAAGTTCCATTACATTGGTGTGGTCTCGCAATCTCCTCCTCTGTATCCGCCTTTCCCTTTCTTCGGATTCCTCGGCGTCCATTAGCGCTATAGCAGCATACATTTTTAAAAATTAATTTTCCTTATATTTCTTTCCGCAACACAACCAAAACACTTTTAAGCAAAACCAAAATGTAAACAATTCCGATGTTGCCCATTTAAAATAAAAAGCATTGAAATAAGCTGAAAATATTAGAAATCTAAGAAAAACTCTTTGGAAGTACATCAAAATTTCATCCGGCAACATCATACAACGTAACCGAGACGATTGCAACGTAATCGACGTAAAGACAAGACGAAGACGAACGACAGAGTTACAAAATTGCAATCCATGACGATATCGCCTACAGACGAATCGTTCGTGCGGCCTATCGTTCGAGATACATAATAAGGCTGTAAGAAAAAACTATCAATGAGTATTGATAGTCTAAAAAAATTTAAACTATCGATAGTGCCATTGATAGTTTGGCAACTCTAGTTTCCATACACGGGCAAGAATAGAAAGTGCAGTTTTCTGCTCGGTAGTTTTCACATAAAAACTTATCACAGTATAGACAGTAAGACTGCTTATACACAGTTCAAGTATTGAATTCAATTCTGCTCGGACATGGAAGAGAGGGGGTGAGAAGAAAAGGGACGAGTACACATGCGTCTGTACCGTCAAGTCGTTTCAACTTTCTTGCTTTGCTTTTGGCATTTTCGTTGCTTCCCATTTAAAGAACCAAAAACTTGAGTTCAACAGAATTGAAACGTGTAAAAGCAAATAGAAAACACAAAAGAGAATGAGCAAGAATTGCTTTCAAGTACTTGAATCGTGTAATCCGATGTTTACCATCGATGTTTACAATTTCCTAAAATCGCTAAAATGATGATATATCGATGCCAGTTTCAGCGATGTTTTAACATCGACTTATGCCCCTAAAAGTTTTTGACTGGCCATGAATTTGATTACTTATTCTTTTGAGGAACATTCTTATCTTTCGATATTAAAAATGCTTACTTAGTTATTAGGCTCAGCAAACTTACGACGGCATGCATTTCTATTCAATTTATAAAAATTTCAAAACATCGGATACCATCGATATATCGATGTTTTTGTGGCGATGTATTTTAGCATCGATGTTCATTTTTTCGATGCATCGAAACATCGGTGTATCGATGTTACTCCCCAAAATTTGCATCCCTATATACATGGCGTATTGATGGTAATACAAGCAATGTATTCTTTTGTGGATTTTATGTTACTTGAGAATTTAGACAACGTGCGAGCTGCCAGGTTCTGTTATCAATATAATTAACACAAGCTTTTTCGCGTAGTTGCCTTTCAATAAATAGAATAAACAAATATTCGCAAATAAATTGGATTTATTTTATAACTGACAACTAACGTACGCTTTTTGTTCTTTTCTCCATTTTGATTTTGACTCTATTACCGCCATCAACTTTATGTGTATAAATATTTACAAGCTGTCAAAATTTTGCGTAGTCCCACGAGCTAGGTAAAAACTATGGCATTCTTATTCACAAGGAGAAATCTCAAAATTTTTGTTTGGTATTTCCAAATTTTCTCTTTTTTATCAGTTGGCAAAAGCCCTCAGTGGCAGCGCTCCGAGCGTTGAGATAGTAATTTCATGTCAATTAGTAGAAAAGTTCCATGTTGAAAAAACTTTTTATTATGGCGAGAAAATTTTACATTGCTCTGCCAATTCGTAACTTTTTACTGCTGGAAATTTTTGACAGTTGTTCTGGTGCAAAAGTTGTTGAGCAATTAAAATCAGAAATTATACAAAAAAGACTTGTCTTTACTGACTTTTATTCTTCTAGAACTAAAAGCCATGCATTTATTAGACGTGTTAGTAATATAATTAGAACAAAAAAAATTCTTCAAAACCGTCAGGCCGAGTTGAAAATTTTCATTCACCTCATAGTTAACAAAAATTTACAATCCGTAGTACTTTTCTATCAATTCGCAAAAGCCGTTTGCACAAAAAAAGTTATGAAATGCGTTTTATTTAAATCGTTTAGAAAATGAGTCATTTATGTATACCATTTTATGTGGAATTATTCAATAAATTTCGTTTTACACTTGGGGTGTTCACAGTTCGTTCCAATTGTGTTTGAAAATGTAGACGTCTACATTTTGAGACATCTTTAGCATCAAACTGTGAGCACCCCTTTCTAGCAGTCGTCGCAAAATCGTCTCAAAACTTTGCTGGTGTTGCCAGACATTTCTTCTTTGCGTGCTTTTTTATATGTCGCCTTTCGATTTTGTTTCTGAAAAATTGTAATTATTTAACTTAATTGCCAATTCCTAATATTTGTTAATTCTTTTTCTTGATTTGTTTCTTTTCATCAGATATTGCGCTCAAATTAAATGTAAATACAGAAAAAGTGCCCAATAAATAAAAAAAATGCGATTAGTATTGCTATAATGCAACCCTGCTGCGAGGTTGCAAAATGTAGTCGCGTAAAAAACATGCCTTTGAGTGTGACCAAGGCGCATCAATTACAGGTGATAGCGAAAGAAGCTATGCTTCTTCTTATGAGCACGCTTGTGTCAAATTATCGTCTGTTTTGCTTTATTTACATCTCCGCGTATACATACACATATACGTCTATATATACCCTGCAAACAAATGCTCCCGAAATCTTTAAAAGTGTCGGAAATTTGCTACGATTCTTTTAGAAATCTTTAAAGAAAAACATATGAAGTGGTTGACAAGAACTAGTAAAGAAATTTCTGTACGATTTCTTAAAGTAAATTATAAAAAAAATTGTGAAACCTTTCAGAATTCTATGAAATCCTGGTATGCAGGGTATACATGTACATACGAATATTAATAGATAAAGAAGATGTTGATGACACAAGGAGTTCATACCAACGGTAAATGTTGTTTTTGTACGATTGCTACAACCTGTAGTTGTTGAATCATGGAGTGTGACAAAATGTAGACGGCGTCGTTTTCCAATTGTGTATGGGAAACAACAACACCACAGATTTTACGGTTAGAAAACGTCTTAAAATGTAGACGTCTACATTTTGAGACACTATTTGGAACGAACTGTGAACACCCCAACTATACTTTTTGAAACTATTTGGAGGTAATTATTTTTTGTTTCTTAAAAGCAACCCTGCGTGCTTGGAAGGCGTGTTACCAGTAATTTCATCCCTAGCATATTCATCCCCGAGGAAGGCGGTCGCCAAATTCACCGAAGGTTGTTTACTGGTTATATTGTGAAACTTATTTATTTGTTAAATAAACACACAAATTATTAATAAATCTATTTAACATATTCGAAACAACAAAACGTGATCTGTATTTTCGCTATAAATTGCAGCACTCACTGCTTTTTTAAAAAGAAAACTTTCTTCCAAGTCTGAACGTGGGGAAAAAGTGCATAGACAACGCGTTCAAAAAACGAGCGAGTATATTTCGGTAAAAGAGAAAGACTAATGGGAAAGAACTGAATCGGAAATATTCCTCTTCGGTACCAAGAAAAGACAAGATTTTAATAAATTAATTTTTAGTGTATTCCACAAATCCGTGTGATTGATCAAAATTCTAAGTTTATTTTTTAATTAAACCAGCATAAGTGAGCAAATTTGCGAGTTTAAAGCCGACCAATATACAGACGTACATATTGCTGAGACTAAAGAAAATCCTTTGATGCGTTCATTGTGTAATTTGTGGACTTCATGTGCTTCTATAGAGAATTTTGTGTACGAAACATAAATAATACGTACATATCCATGGGTCTGGTACGATACGTCGAAATTTAAATTGTCGAAACTAAAAACACCGAAAAAAAAATGTCGAAAAAAAATTGTTAGAAAATCAAGAATGTCGAGAAAAAAATTGTCGAAAGGAAAAATGTCGAAAACAAAAAATGTCGAAAATAAAAATATCGAAATAATGTAATGAATGATGTGTAAAATTCGCGCGAATTTTACACATCATTCATTACATTATTTCAACAGGTTTATTTATTTAAGTTCAATTCCACTAATCCTATGTACTAATATAATAAATGTTAAAGTTTGTGAGTGAGTATGTTTGTTGCTCGTTCACGCTAAAACGTCTGGATATATTTCAATTAAATTTGGAATATAGATATAATATACTAACATATAAAATATTTTTTGGAGTTGCCACCTCTTTCAAAAAAAAACCGATTAATTAACAAGTTTAACAAAATATTAGCAAGCGAAAGCGGTTCAGAAACTATATATTTCGGAAGTATTTTGTAATAGGGTTAAAAAAGTTTAAATCAATTCTTTGAAAAAGTTTAAACGAAATATTTTAATGTGGGTATCAAACGAGAATGCTTTATTGTAGAAATATTTTTAGAGAGTTGCCATCTTTTCAAAAAGTTAAAATCAATTTAAATAACACGTTAAATAATTTTTTTCTGCGTAATTTTGCAGAACTTTCTTTTTCCATCTTAGGAACTCTAGAACATTTGAAAATCTACTCAGAACACTTTTAATTTTTATTTTTTTCACACATTCAACTTTTTCGACTATTTTTCGACAATTTACGCGTTTTGGATTCTTTTTCGACCTTATTCATTTCGAAAGCATACGATTTCGACATTTTGCGTTTCGGTTAAACACTATATCGAGATTTAAAAAATTTTTAAATTTCGACATTTCTCTTTCGACATTTTTATTTTCGACTTATCGTACGGATCCCCATATCCATATGTGCATAGGTATATAACAACTGTCGGTGTAAATTCTTTCAGTTTGTTTCCTATTTGTGGCAAGACAAATGTACTCTTTTGAATTAAAATTAAGTGGTTTGAAAAAGCTCATTGCCTCCTATTGTTGACCTGCACAGACGAATAGAAGTATTAATGAATGACCGAGGAAAAACGAAATTTGCAAACGATATAAAATTGATTTCTTTGAGCCGTTAAAACAATCAACAAAACATTGTGCATCTTCGAGTACGGGAAATAAAGGCATTCAAGTTCGGCCAGCCTCTTATTTTTTGTCGTTGCGTAGTGCGCTGTTCACTTGTCTATAAATTCGTTTCCCTTAAAGCTTAGTATCCAGCTCTTAAGAAAAGCAAAAACTCCATATAAAATGACGTACAAGAAATGGCTAAGAAATTTTCTTGAGTCAAATTTTCTAAGGCAGTACGCAGTTCTTCAGAAATTTAGTACGCTTTCTACTACGGTTTTCTAAAGTTTTTTGTGAAAAAAGAGCACAAGGCAACTCAGGTTTGCAACAGAAATATATGCCCGTTCCATTATTTCTCGAGGAAAGAGTGAGGCAACAGGCTGTGAGGTATAAAAAATGTCAAAATTCCTTGGACACACACGCGAAATAATGGCAATTTTTTCTTGACCGTTTTCTTAAGAGCTGGATACTAAGCTTAAGGCCTGTATGCAGCTCGCAAGAAAAGCAAAAACTCCATATAAAATGACGTACAAGAAATGTCTAAGAAATTTTCTTGAGTCAAATTTCCTTAAAGCTTAGTATCCAGCTCTTAAGAAAAGCAAAAACTCCATATAAAATGACGTACAAGAAATGGCTAAGAAATTTTCTTGAGTCAAATTTCCTAAGGCAGTACGCATTCTTCAGAAGTACGCTTTCTACTACGGTTTTCTAAAGTTTTTTGTGAAAAAAGAGCACAAGGCAACTCAGGTTTGCAACAGAAATATATGCCCATTCCATTATTTCTTGAGGAAAGAGTGAGGCAACAGGCTGTGAGGTATAAAAAATGTCAAAATTCCTTGGACACACACGCGAAATAATGGCTATTTTTTCTTGACCGTTTTCTTAAGAGATGGATACTAAGCTTATGGCAGTACGCAGTTCTTAAGAAATTTACTACGCTTTCTACTACGGTTTTCTAAAGTTTTTTGTGAAAAAAGAGCACAAGGCAACCCAGACTTGCAACAGAAATATATGCCCGTTCCATTATTTCTTGAGGAAAGAGTGAGGCAACAGGCTGTGAGGTATCAAAAATGTCAAAATTCCTTGGACACACACGCGAAATAATGGAAATTTTTTCTTGACCGTTTTCTTGAGAGCTGCATACAAGGCTTTATAGTTGGCAACACCCTTCGTTCAGTTCTGTCATTCATAGAATTTAGAAGAGCAAAAAAGGTGTGCGAAACAAAAGGTAGTGGGTATCTTGAATTGTCAAAAACTTGGTGGGCGTTGGAAAGAGAGTATGCAATTTACATATATGTAATACTCCTATATTGGCAGTAAGAGCTAGTACCGTCCGAAAACACTACAGTACAGATATATCAATAAACACGTACGAAAGAAAAGGAACACATACGTTTATAAATAAACATGTACATAACACATAAAATAAAAATAAAAATGCAAAATGTAACTGCCACTGAAATTACGCAAATCGCTTTCAAGATATATTTTCAACTTGCTCCTGCTGCAGTAGCAATATTCATTTTTGCTGCAAGTGCATTCAACCCAATCGAGTGTTGCCATGTGACGCGATTTTTCTCGAATTTGTATAGAACTACAAAAGTTGCATCACATATAATTCCAGTTACATAAGTTACTCTCCTGATATTTACGATTTAAGTATTGAGCATTGCCGATTTTGTGGTTGTTTTGTGTGCATTACAGCGTTTGTAGAAATTCTTTCAAAATATCGGATAACATTCATAAGATAAAAACTTTTGCCTGTGGGGACCCTACGTTAGCAAGTTGGAATTTTTTTTCAAAAGCGATATGCACTCTTTTCCGTTGCAAGTCGCTTTCTTGAAATTGACTCGCGAAAAGTTGTAAGTTTACCCGTTTCCATGTGTTGGTGACATTTTTTTTTTTTTTTATAGTTCTAATTGACTTTTGTATTTTTCAAATTTGGAAACTGTCTGGCATCACCACGTCTCTTCTGGCAGGGACTTCTCGTTTTTCTTCGTCAATTTTTCTTGCGGCAATTTTTCGCTCTTCATTGTTCATTTGGATTTTTCTTCTACTTTCACACTTCAGTGTAGGAGATTTTTGCATAAAGAATTTTTCAACATCCAAAGGAATGGAAAAAATTGCGAAATTGTGTTAAATTGAAAGAATTTTGTGAAAAATAATATATTTAGTATTGATTAGCGATGTGAAATTGATGAATGGAAAAAGTGTGTATATAAAAGAAAATGCGAAAATAGTGAAAGCACATTTCTCTTCAGACATTCGTCCAGCCCACGGATGTGTCTGTTTAGTGTGTGTAGGGGTTGGGCATGATACAAAAAAGAAGGTAGTTTCCATGATAAAAATATAGTAAGGTAGAACCGCTGAGAGTCACTTTTAAAATTCTTGACGTTTCCAAACAATTTAATTTTTAAATTTACTCACGAACTCGCACACACATTTTCATTTTCAATCTCAAGCAACAACAATTTCGAAAAATTTCAATTTTTTATTTTCACTTTATATCCCACCATGCAAAACATTAGAAATAGGCAACAATCGTCAATGGCAACAAATTGGCGACTCGCCGATTTATCGCTATGGTGACATGTCAATTTTGAACAAAAAAGTTGTCAAAAACTCCGAAACTTATGAATATGGCGTCAATAGTATTGGCCAAAAGCATCTAAATTATGCCCAAGGGCAAGATTGAAAAAATAGGAAGCCTCACAGCTAGATTATGAATTAATTCCGATTGTAAGTTGCAATTTGGTTTACAAAAAAATAAATGAAGTATTAACAAGTAAGAAAGTCTAAGTTCGGGCGGAGCCGAACATTAAATACCCGGCGCAAGTATTCCATATATGCCTTTTCACATGGTAAGCCGGGGTGTATCAATTTTGAATAAATTAGCGTCCTTAAATTTCGAAATATTGACGTTTCGAGCATTTCTAAAATTTACCGTTATATGAAAAGCCGTAATTTTAGTCCGATTTCAATAATTTTGAACGTTTTGCTTTTATGTGGCAAGCACAATAACCATACCGAGTTTAGTACAAATTGGTAGAACGGTTACCGAGATACATATATGTGATCATAAGTGGGCGGTGCCACGCCCATTTTCCAAAATTTTATGATAAACGCATTTCCTGATAAAGAATTGTTGCAAGCATCAATTTTGAATAAATTAGCTTCAATATTTACGGATTTATCGAAGATTTCGTATTTCTCCAAATTACCGTTATAAAGGATGTGGGCGTGGTTATTGTCCCATTTTTAAAATTTTCGGCCATTTGGTATCCTGTACCAAGGCCAATAACTGTGCCAAGTTTGGAAGAAATCGGTGCAGCGGTAGCCAAGATATACACATGTAACACTAAGTGGGCGTGGCTACGCCCATTTTTCAAAATTTATAATATTCTTATTTTTTGTCTAAAAGTTATTGCAAATATCAATTTTAAGTGAATAATCTTCAGTAGTTACTAAAATATCGCAGTTTTCGTATTTCTGAAATTTACCGTTATATGGGAGGTAGGCGTGGTTATTGGCCGATTTTGCCCATTTTCAATACCATCCGTCCTACGCCCGAAAGAAGTACACGTGCCAAGTTTCGTTAAGATATCTTAATTTTTACTCGAGTTATCGTGTGCACAGACGGACGGACAGACGGACGGACGGACGGACAGACAGACAGTCACCGCTTAATCGATTTCTCTTTTCATCCTGATCATTTATGTATACATTTGTCTATATCTATCTCGATTCGTTTTGCCTGTTACAAACAACCGTTATGTGAACAAAGTTATAATACCCTTGTGCACAAGTGCGCTCGGGTATAAAAAGAATGAAATTATTCCAAATATCGCCTGAAGCGATAAGAAAAGGACTCATTCAGGTAATAAGAAAACGGCTCGCCCAGGCGAGTTGCCTTCGGCGGACGTTTTAGAGCGACCGGTAATAG